GAGGTTAAACGGAGATGATAATGTTATCACAATGTCATGTTTCATAAATAAAATACTACTATCACTACTACCACTACTATTCCTATAGATAACATTAAGATTGCTAGTATTAATATTCTTAGTATTATTACCAGACCATTTTACCAATTATTGAGAATTACTAAGTTACCTCCATTACTTCTTTGAACACCTCCATCTTTAGCAATAGGTTTCGTTAAGTATTCTTCACCCTCGCGTAGACTTTCCTCTTCTACTGTATTACTTAGTTAAGAAATGTGTAGATCGATATCAATTTTCAAACAATAAGGTTTCAAATAATTTTAATACTAAAAACTTTTGTAAGGTAGCATAATGAATTTATGTTCATCAGATTCGTAACTTCTTTTGTGGAAAATATCGTCATTAAATATATAAACAGGAACTTTAGGCAATCATAAATAAAATTTTATTTCAGTTGCTCAGCAACGGAGTTTACATCGAGTTAAAAAGCAATTGGTAACCCTTATAGAATATGGAAGTAAGTTATGTATATCTTAAGTCATGCAAAATCTTTATATGTCTACGAACCTTCTGACATCTATAGCAAAATGAAACTACCCTGTTTAATGCGACGATACAAATAACTATTTACAAATTATCATCTACTCAGACAACATTAATTCAAACAAATGAGTTAATATGACAAATTGCAATATACAAATGACAACAACATTGCTAAATAACGTCTGGGGCAATCAAGATCAATTGATGAGAGCATATTGTTCACTATCGCCAATATATATTGATCACAACAAAAAAGAATATGACAGTAGAAATACAGATGCAATATCTGCCAACAAAATGGATAAACATTGTAAAATATATTAGTGTCAATTATAAAGACAGAACGTAGATGACTTTGTTAAGCAAGAACTTCACCATTTTACGAAAAGATTTTGAGGTGTATTCTAGGTTATATATTCACAAATCGTATATTAGTTTTTACTTTTAGGTGACAATGTGATAAAAACAAACAGGTGCATATATATATATATATATATATATATATATATATATATATATATATATATATATATATATATATATATATATATATATATATATATATATTGGTAGTAAAATAAGTCACATTATTATATAGGCCCTATCACTAATTACAATTGAAATTATATGCATATTTGTTTACTTTAACAAGGTTTATAAACTTTAATGAAACAATTGTGCAACTGTTTCTTGTATAAACCATTTGGTTTCACGAAGAGCCATTGCTGCACATGGTCATATACAATCACTACGGGGAAACCGATTTAAAACAAATAAAAAGTATGACAAAACGAAAACGAATTAACTCCTAGATTATTATAATGGTTTCCATTCTGTATGCACATAAGAGATACCAAAATGTAGACGTAGTCCCTAATATCAATATACCCTTCTTTCTGTCTGTAATAATTCTTGAAATTTTCACGAATCTCTTCCATTTCACCTCTATTCGTTTTGGATACCTTTGTCCGCCTGTATTGATAAGAAACTACATCGCCTAAAAAGAAAACATGGCTTTCTACTATGAATTTGCAAAGGAAGAAAATTAAATACCAGAATACGAGTGTCAAATTGTTGAAGAGGGTAATTGGCATTGTTTTTATTTTTAATAATCAGTTCTGATATGTTTTGGTGCATATATGTTTATTTAGTTCAATTCATTGATAGTCTACAAAATGCATCTCACATCATTGGATAGGTCCATAGTCTCAAAGTCTCCGTTGTATCGTCTTCGCAAGATGGAAGAAAGCATACCCATTTAAAACAAAAAGACTAACGCAAAGACTGAGAAAACGGATTGATATTCATGTGACTGACTTACGGAACTTCAAGTTATACAGCATATATTCTGAATACCAAGTCAATATGTATTTATTTCTAATACAAATTATCCTCGCATTATTCTTCTAGAGAGTGGATAAGTAAATTAAATTGTCAACCATAACCCTCTCAACCAAATGCTGATGGTGGTATGTTTTATTCAGCCAGTGATGTAACAAAGTTTTTACAACACATTGAGTGTTTTTATCGTTGAATATGGCATGGAAAGTGACCTGTCTTATCATTCCGTAAAAAAAGATCACCTTATAAATGTTTAGAATGACTGATAATAAGGTACAGGATATAATTTTATACTTCCTTTTTTTCACTAAATCTTTGTTTGCCGGAGACGTCATATAGTCACGCGATGTGCCAGGCTGAATGAGATTAATTCTAACCAAACAGTACTGCATAAATAATGGTACAGTTCTCCAATAAAATTTTGTAAGTACCGTTCAAATAAGTCAATATAAAATGCATTTTTAGCTGATAATGATGAACATATTATTTCATGCACAATCAACTATAAAACATGAAATGTAGTTTCTTTAAACTCTATGCTGTTTTGTTGATTTCGGCACATTAAATCAATTTCAAATGTATCATTCATATACTGCAACATATTTGATATCTTTAAGAATGTTCTGAAAATAAGATATAATTCGAAACATCTGCATAACAATTAGCGAACAAAGCACTTGTGTAATTTAAGAATTCTCACAAGGGCATCAAAATAAAAGAATATTTTCATAATTTGATTTCGTAATAAATGTTTCGAAAATGGATACCAATGATGCTTCTCCTTCCATTGCTTGTACCTTATAAGAGCTGATATATGCCAAACAGAGAACGTCATGCTTAACGATAACTAAGAAAAATGTAATATATGCCTTACATACTACCTTAATGCGTCATCACTGTAAGTTTAATTACACCAGCCTGCAATTACGTGAACACAGATTAGATTATTGTATTCCAGCGGTCAATTATCAGAGTTTGCAATCATCTTTTCATCTTTTAGTATTATGTCTATGATGTCTTTTTAATGATATTGTGTATACCACTAATTAGACGCTTAATATATATATATATATATATATATATATATATATATATATATATATATATATATATATATATATATATATATATTGCCAGTAACATAAATGTATACAATTATTGACCTTCTACTTTCCATCTAATAATTTGTATTCAATACTGAAACACATGTAATTTGAATTATAACCATATACAAATGTTCAAACTATAGTTAAGATTATAAGGGCAAACAATCAATAAATGCATACCCCTGATAAAGATGATATTAAGCAGATTTACAAGCAGCAAGCAAGCGAGTGAAACCTCCATCGCGAGGAAATATATTAGACATCTGCTTTGATCTACTGACTAGAAGCAATTCAAATATTCATTTATATATCACTTCCTTTGCCCTACTCAACAAGAAAGTTCAGAATGTTAGTGCCTTACCTATGTATAATTTGAAAATAATAACATCTTGACAGGTTGAACTTGATCCTTTCAAAACATAAGGAGTCAGTCCTTACATAACCGTGACCTTACACAACGGTGTCAGGACTGGGGACAAAAGTTCATACTGTATCCATACAATATATGTCAGCTGATAATACATCGGAAATGACCTTTGTTACAATACGTAGTCTACAAAGTGCTGTAACAAAGGTATTTAGGAGCAGAAGATATAATCATATAGGGTTAGAATGGCAATACTTCCCCTTGAAATATTAATTATGAGATCAACGTCTTGTTCAAAGGAACAGTCATATAGTTTGGGTCATGGACTAGAAAGTGTTACGTCGCAGGAACAACGTGAATAATGGGCTGCTTGCTTGTTAATACGTTGTGGGCCATGTAGTTGCAATGACAATAGTGAATAAACAAATAATGGCGTAAACTTCTGGCTTGGCAACCGGGTTAAAACAATACTATAATCGGAATGTTTCATTTAAGTATTAAATCAAGATCCTTTGCTCATCATTGTAAGTGTTGACTATTTTCGCACTGACCGTCTATACCCCAACAAGGACACTAGTTGGTTGTACATCTTTTGTAAACACATTTTATGTAGAACAAGAATTGAAAAACTGTCTAGCCAGGCCATTTATAATTTGTATGTAAGCTGATGTCAGTCGAACCATATAAGATTACTTACAAACCATATTTGAAAGAAATATAGTAACTTTACATGCAGTCATGAAACAACCAGTAGGATTGCTTACAATATTGTTTTTAGGCTAAAGGTTTGTATGATTTGAGATAAATGATAAACATCACATACCTAATTAAGTCAGAATCCGATTTTCATGGTCACAAAGTCATAAAAGAGCAATTACAAAACCGACGACACAAGAAAAATATCATACAAAAGCCTAGTACTATAAAATTTCTTCATTGTTTGCTATAAACATGGCAAAATAATTACAAAAAGGTTTCGCGATGTTGGGTGTCGATACGTCTTCGACTTTACAAACCAAGGAGCTAGAATAGCTCATCCCAAATAAAGGACAGTAATTAATTGTCTGAGATGTACTTAAACTTTTACTTCTTGGATGTAATATTTCATCCTGGATCTAATATTTATTTGAGATTTCATTTTAAAAGCAGCAGACGAGTGAGATGTTTTAGCATTAGCAATAAATTACGATCCTCTCTCAATATTAAAATGCTTTATCGGTATAAAATTTACAGTACCCATAAGGTGACTTTTGTTGTCAGATATTTCATTAATTGATAAAGTTAAAAGTTGCAGTAATTAATATTCTAGAGTGAATATTTTCATTGAGTTTGTAATATTTGATAACATAATACATGTTTTTTTAATCAGTGTATACGTGTGTAGAGTTTTGTATTAACCTTTACATCAAAATGATAGTAAAGACCATCTGCTTTGGAATGCGAATGAATGGCAGGAAATATTAGCTTTTAACCTCTCCTTTTATTGTTATTTATGCGTTGATAAATAACATTATTCCTGATGGAGACTTTTGGATATGTGTGTGCGCAGGCGGAGAATCTGTTATATTTCTTTGGATTTCCTAATTATTGCGCTTCGTTTTGAGTTATGGGATATCCCAAACCCGATTACGTCATTAAAAATCGCTCTGGTGGCTTAGTGGTTAGAGCGTCCGCCTCTGATGCGGGAGGTCGCGGCTTCAAACCCCGCCGAGCCATACAAAAGACTTATAAAAATGATACTGACAGCTGGCTTGCACTAACAGGTTAGTGTTAGGGCAATTTTGTATGGATGATGTAACTCAGTGGGACATGATGCTACATGTATGTCTCACGATTCCTTAATGCTATGTATCCTTATATATTGAAACGTTGCAGAGATCGTAGCGATTTGACTGAAAGAAATGTTTAGGTTACGTTACAAATCCGAATCACACACACACACACACACACACACACACACACACACACATACATACATTCACACACATCACCGAATGTATGATTTGGACAAGACAAATGTTCCAGCTTTGGGCTCCTTTACTCTCCTTTAGGCTTACCAGTTCGATCTGTGAAGATTTCCACTAATATTCAATCTCTTCGTATCTCCAAACTATTGGGAGGAACATATATTCCAGGTGATGCGGTCAATCACATTTTGTGTTGCACATTATAGTATCAATGTGATTATTAAAAATTTCGTCGGTGAATGTGGTGTAAAACGTGTTTTTACATCAAATGTTGTCATAGTTTGAATCGTTTGTCTCCGTATCTGTATAATTTGGGTTGTCTCTTGTGTAATCTTACTAACTCAATGACCCACTTGTGGTTTTATAAATAGGCTATGGATAATATAAATATTTTGGCAGATCTTTGAATGAAATTTGATTACATTATAAATTTAATCAAATGGTCAATGTAATTTAAAGAATGTATCAGTATAAGACATGATTAAAATTGATCAGCTAAAATTCCATATTTTTGGCAAATGAAAATTATACTAAGCGAGCGTAGTGTAGGTTTCACATTATGAATGGAATATATATACATACATACATACATACATACATACATACATACATACATACATACATACATACATACATACATACAAACATACATACATACATACTCACATACATGAATGCATGCATGCATGCAAACATGCATACATACATACATACATACATACATACATACATACATACATACATACATACATACATACATACATACATACATACATACATACATACATACATACATACATACATACATACATACATACATACATACATACATACATACATACATGCATACATACATACATACATACATACATACATACATACATACGTACGTACCTGCATACATACCTGCATACGTACATGTATACATACATACATTCATACATACGTTCCTGCATACGTACGTTCATACGTACGTACATACGTACGTACATACATACGTACCCACATACGTAAGTACTTACATACATACATACGTACATACATACATACATACATACATACATACATACATACATACATACATACATACATACATACATACATACATACATACATACATACATACATACATACATACATACATACATACATACATACATACATACATACATACAGAGATTTTCTACAAATTCTAGATAAGATCGTTTTCTTGCCTTTAAATACATAACGTGCAAACCATCAATGATTGTCGTCAGTAACTCCAAGATTTTCAAATTAGCATTTTCAAATTAGCATAATTGGTGTTAGATAGTCATATAAGATATCAAGTTGCCACCATCTGGTTTAGACCCTACGTTATATGACCTTTGGTTACAAATGCATAATTATAACACTATTTCACATTGGACGCGATAATGGATAATTTTCAGCCACAAGCAGTCTAGAAGTAGTCATCGTTAAACGTTTAAGCTTGTAATTGGGGCAGTCAGATTAGCATCTGTTCAGTAGAAGAATTAGTTCCACGATACCATTCTAGATATATTATTAGCATGATTTCCATTTAGCTTTCATTATGGGTTTGATGCACTTTTCAGCACACAATGGGTTATACAATGACGAACCTGGCAAAATGCAAGAACAATGCATTCATATGATACTACTGGTGAGCCTTTTTACATACCCACAAAAAGCTAAGTGTGATTAAAACGAAAGCAGAAACAGATGATGCATCAGTGGTCTGTAAAAGCTCGTGCCTTAGATCACTTGGAGACACTAGGTCCCAGTTCCATTTAGAACCAAATAACGTCTCAACAATGGTTTTCAATGCAATCCCCAAGTCAACCTATTTAGGATAAGTATCAAATATCTATATTTTCAATATGGTTCATATTGTGGGCAAAATGAAAATCAGATTGGCACCATTTTATTGAGGACTTAAACATAAATCAGAAGAAGTCTTTTGGTGAAAATCCATGACCATATGACCTTCCAAACAGGATAACTAGTGATATCAAATTCTTTAAGATGGCCACTTTGATTGCCTATGGCAGATGTCTGAGCAGCACAGATTTGTATAGGACTTTCATACCATGAGATAAATCTTTCATATCCAAGAGCTTCCTCTGTGTAGTTCAAGTAAAAAAGTGACAGCAAATATGAGCAAATGAATGGATCAATGTTGGTCAATAGTCTATGACCAATAAGAGTATAATCGTTCATCTTAATTAAATGACATCAGTACTCTAAATGACAATCATACTATAAATCTAATGGACTATGGCAATTATAATAAAAATATAATAAAATTCCTGATTTCTGAATTTAACTCTTTTGTTATTAATTATACATTGGTTTCAACACATGTTCTTGTCCATTAGAAGGTATTTGTTTGAAAAGTTATGTGTTACTTTCATATAGTTAACTCAGAAGCAGATACAAGAGACAGACATTTGTGTTATGTCTGGATTGAAAAGATTAGATTGCTATCAATGGTATAGTAATACTGGTGTTGCAGCTACATATCATGCAAAATTATCGAAGAAACTGATATAACACAAACAGTTGACTTGAGCGCAGTAAGCAGAAAGTCACAGCGATCTAATTATATTTAAATTGTATTGTTTAACATGATATATATATATATATATATATATATATATATATATATATATATATATATATATATATATATATATATATATATATATATATATATATATATGTATATACTTCAGAGTTATTAAAAAGCTTCCATCTTTGTATCAAGTATCCAAGAATGAAAAAAACGAATATCACAAGGGCATCATAAATATATTTTGTTGGTTCTTTTTTGAGAAAAGAAGCTTTACAAATCTCAACATTCGTTGATTTGTGAAATGTGAAATCTTGGTTGACAAATTTTGGGGTATGAATATAACCCTTCTATGGGCTCTAAATGGTTGCTCTGTTCCAGATAAGGAAAGATGTACAAAATCTAAAGATACACTCTGAAAATTAGTTACACATATAAATACTTTATTTGTATTCATACTACTCAGAAGCAAAAGAAGACCGCATGTATTTTTTTTTTTGGATTGTACGAATTAATACTCCATGCATGCATCAAAATTTGTGAGGATTCGTGCAACTCAGGTGGATGATGTATCTGAAAGTAGAAAACCAAACCAAATTTCAGCAGAAAAATGCTTTACAACCTGAATTTCATCTATGAACCAGATTAAGCATTGCAACGTTTTTGGCTACATGAATGAAACAGATTTTTAAAACAACTATCATCTATTGAACACAGTGGCAATATATCTGCCTCAAAATGTAACACTCTAGCTAAGAAGATCCAAATATTGTTCATTCTTTCACAAAATATATTGATATTTTTGATGATGCAAATGGTGTCAATAGAAATGTAGTATTTTAATTTTGCAATCTGGTGGACAAAGTTGTTGTTGTTGTTGTTGTTGTTGGGCTTTACGCCATTTTCAGCACTTAATAGGCTATTCATGGCGGCCAGTTTTAACAGTGGAGGAAGAAACCGGGAAATCACCGGAAAGAACCACCGACCCAGGAGAAGCTACTGACATGCTTTCTCACATATACACATTCGCCGAATCCTGGACTCGAACCCATGCAGACTGGGGTGAGATGGCAATGATCCTTAACGGACAGTGCTTTAGAGGTGGACAAAGAAATATCAGATGGAACTACATGCAGATATAAGAATCTTCATTTACAATTTGACAATACAAACCTGTTAGCTCCAGTGGCCTAGTGCATAGTGTTTCTGTCTCAGATGCTAGAGTTCGAGGGTTTGAACCCAGGTATAATTATACCAAAGACCTATGAAGTATGTTACTATCATCAGCCTCGCTGGCTGCTCAGCATTAAGGTTAGTATTAGAACTGGTCGGCCTGATGACAAGTTATTTTACCATCGTGGGATATCATTCTTCATGTCTAAGAGACTATGCCCCTTTTCCAGGCTTTACTATAAACTGCCACACATCATAGATCATACTGATATGACCAAAATGTTTTTAAGCCTACGTTACAACTCTTAATCACATACACATCACACTAAAGATCCCAGTATACTAAACAAATCATTTCTAAAGTAAGACTAATTTCACTGATATTTTGCTCACTCATTGCAAGTTTTCTTTTCTTTGTAAATCTGAGAAGTCACACATGCAGAAATGCTGTTGACATACCAGTCAGTAGATATGGTCTAAACTATTTGTAGTTAGGTAGACCCAGTCAAGCTGATGACACTACATACAGCAGGTGTGGGTCTAAACGTCATAGACCTAGGCATATTGTTATCCCACCATACACCATATTTGAGCATAATCTGTTTCTGGTTATGGGAATATTACAATCGAGTCAATTTTATACAATTTTGAGTACCTCACCACCATATCCAGTTAAAAACAAAGATAACAATGTCCATTATTAATTGAAATGGGTACAAGTGTAACTTAACATGACTACAAAAAGATTCAGTCTATCATACATAACCCGTATCTGCTACCTTGTATGGTTTACCCGAATTTTGTACTTATTTAATTTTCGCTAGTGCTCAGCCGCACTACCGTTTTGTACGTGTTTTCTTAGAAAAACATTATTTTTATTGTTTAGAATTTTTTGTTGTTGATGAAGATGGCTTCTAATCAGGGATAGCTGTCAAAGAGACGGATTCATATATAAAGGGAATATATGATCCTTCATACAAATAGGGCAAATGGCTGCTGGAA